GTATAAAGAAAGAAATAATGATAATAACAATACGCTCTATTATATATTATTATATTATAATATAATATGTCATGTATATATATATAGGACATACAGATTACAGGGTGTTCGTCCTGTTCGTCGTCGTAGCATTTATTCGATGGCCACCGAGGGAAAGATATGCCGGGATTGGTAGTAGGTATAGGTGAACCGAGTCCCAGCAAAAACCAAATTATAGAATTTATTAGAAGTCAAATCTATAATAAACTTTATAGTTATGATTTAAATTTTATAAATTATAAATTAAAGAAAGCGGGTAAGTGTGTGTCGTTCTGCTGTACAGTAGGCTACATGTGGGTAATTAACTTGAGAAATTTGAAGTACCCATAATAAAAAAACTGTATATTATATATTTCTTAGATTTTTTAGTTACAAAATTAACTACTTAGGTGGAACCTTGTTATAAATTTCCAATCCTTAGCTATAATTATTGAACATTTTATAAAATTAAACTACAAAATAATTCACTAATCTTCATAGTTTTGACGAATTTTGTCAAAATTGGAAGGAGAAATAAAAAAAAAAATGTATCTTTAATATTTTTGAATGGTAATTAGTTATTATAACAACCTATGAAGAATCTGTTGTATTACATTTTCAAGCTTTTTAACATGCTGAATTTTTTTTTATCAAAATTTATAGAAAAATAACTAAAACAAATTAAAAATTTCTATAAATAGTTCAAAAAGAGTCAAACTTATGTGTATAGAAAACTGCGAACTTACCTCTTATAAAATTTAAATAGGTAAAAATGTAGGATTATTATCTATGGCATCTCAGAGGCTTTTATTGATATTTGTATTGAAGCAACTGCAGTGGCGGCTATCCTCAAATAAATTCGTATTACCAAAGAAAATTCTGAGGACCCACCCACCTACAAATATTTATTAGAAAATACAAATTACCAATATTCAATCAGTGGGTCACATATTTTTCTTAAATTTTGAGCGATTTTAAAATATAATTTATCTAATAATTTTTTTTTTTAAAACAAATTTTTATTTTTATAAATTAGTTACAAAATTTCTAATATTTCTAATCGGAACAATCATTTTTTAAAGGAAAAAATATATGTAATAAAGACAATTATTAAAGAATTGAAAACAGTATTTAAAACGACGTTAATGTTGCTTAAATTTTTAAATGGAAGGATATAGCTTGGAAAATGTTTCATTTTTTTGACCTTAGGTATGGCGGCATACCTGTTGATGGCTTTTTAATACAAATTTTACTTTTAGACTTTAGTGAATTTTGGAGAGGAAGGATTTCCAAGTGAACTTCAAAACTATGCTAGATAGCTTACGGCACCGTAAAGTAACAATTTTGCCAAAAAAATTTTTCTAAAATGGTAGTTTTAACTGTCAATATAATTGAAAATAGTTTTTAGGACGACGTTTATATTACTTAGATTTTTAAAAGGAAGGAGTTTATTTTGACTCCTGAAACTGTGTTATACCATTTGTTTAAATGGCAATCTATACGTTGATAGAAAAATAATTTGGAAAATGTTACTTTTTCGAACTAAGGTGTTGGGAGACATACCTATTGACGACTTTTTTGACACAAATTTTATTTTTACTGGATTTTGTGGTGGAAGGACTTCCAAGCGAACTTTAAAACTAAATTAGATAGGTTGTAGCACCTTTGAGTAATATTTCTGACAAAAAAAATTTTCAAAAATGTTTGTTCTTACTAGGAAATGGATTGAAAACCATTTTCAAAATTAAGTTTATGTTACTTAGATATTTAAAAGGAAGGAGCTTATTTTGACGCCTCAAACTGCCCTATACTATTTATTTAAATCGTGATCTATACGTTGATAGAAAAATAATTCGGAAAATTTTACTATTTTTTGAACTTGGTGACAGTTTTTAAAACGACGTTGCTTTCGTCCATATGTGTCTTAACTGAAAATTAATTTGCACATCTATGTAATTTTGACGAATTCCTTCAAAATTCTAGCTTCAGCCAATCATAAAAATGTATTCAAATTTTTTTTTTAATTACACTTTAAAGTTTAAACAACTTAAAAGGATTTTGTCATCACAATTTCAAGTTTTTGATTGAGCAAAAAATTATTTATTCACAATTATTGAAAAAAAAAACTTAAAAAAATAGATGATGTTTCATGGCTATAAAGCTTTAAAAGTGTCAAAATGTTATCAAATATAGAAAATACTTATATTAACATTTGGGGGAAATTTAAAGGATCTGAGGTCAACCGTTTTTGAGTTACACCAAAAATAAAAACAAAATCGGATGTGTCAAAAATTGGTATTCCTTCTCTCCGAATCTCAAACATTAAAAATCAAAGTCCACGCATACTGTATCGGTATTATTTTGATTATAATTTATTAGTAGGATAATTAATATAAATAACATTTTAAATGCTACGTTTTCTTCTAATAATTATAATTTATTTCAAAACTTGTATTTTGTACTGTTTTGCTTTTAATTATGTTACACTAATTAGTCATATTATAGTATAATAAATAATAACCCAACATCCAACCATCCACCCACCCACCAAACTGTGTATGTGTTGCAGAAGAATCGCCGCGGCACTGGAAGAAAGTTATAACCACTTTTAAACTCTAAATTGTTTGTATTTTTTAAAATTAATCATAAGTTTTTTAAAAATAATAATATCTATAAACTCCTCCGAGTTGCCCTGGATAATTTTATAAGAGGTAAATTCACTGTAATTCTAGAAATTACCGAGTAAAATCTATTATTGAGAAACGTAAAATTTGTTATGTTTTACGTTTATATGACTTAGACAACAAATTCCCATGCGGCGTCCTCTTAATATAATCAAGTTTATATTAAAGTGTCACCACTGCAGTCATTTTAATTCTATACATTATGGTTGTTTGTGATCTTGAATATTATTCTATAGCTAATCTCTGCACGACTGCGCCTATAGTCATGTACAAAAAATGGATTTTTGAAAAATCTGTTCAGATAATCATTTCGGTTCTTAGTCTACGATATTTACAATATAAAGTTCATGTTTTAGCATATATCTTGTCGTTTGTATTTCATATTTTACTGATTTCGAATGTATATTTATCATTTTTTCAGTAGGTACCTACATTAAAACATTCACTGGACTGCTCTGGCCGTATTTCCTGTCATCTGAAAACCGAACGGCGGCACAAACCTAACTATAATTATATTTATGCAACTCAAATCCGCCGTGTTTCTGGGTATAAAACATTTTATTATACGACTAAATGTGCTGTAATACTATTTTAATTATGTCGTAAACATTATATTTTATGTATATTATACATATACGTATAAACTATATAGGTGTGTAACTTACAATTTATGGCCCTGACCGCCCAGTTAACAACAACTTGTGCGTTAAAAAATCAACCGATTAAGCGCATAATAATGTGTCCTTTTGATGGTATTAGGAATAATTAGGATCTATATCTAATGCTGATCAGATAGTTTATTGTCTGAATTCGTTCGAGGAGGACGCAAGCTCTGAGCTAGGACTTATTGTAAGCATATGTTAATTATTCAATCGTATTGATGATTGTATAGTGCAGCTTGTATTAAAATTAAAACGTAAAACCCGACCGGAGATGTGAAAACACAGATAATATTATTACTTACTTTTACGTTTTACAACATGTCAGTATTTACTGCTGTAATATAGTAAAACGATAACAACAGAAAATGGACTCTGCTGAACGCATATTTTTCATGTCGTACACTCGTACCTATATGTAAAACTGATGCGGTACATATGTGGCCATCAAGTCGTCTAATGACCTTAAGCTTTTAGGTTTAGTTGGATGAATGGTTGACGAATGATGTATTTGGAAGAAATATGTATTGGTACCGCAGCTATATTAATATAATGTATATCTACCGTTCCACTTTATCGCCCGCACCTCCGGTTTTCAAACCTCTGCAAATATTATTATAGCAGTATCGAATGACATTTATTTAAAGTTGAACATATTCATGTGTTTTAAATTAACAGGATTTTAGTTTTTAAAATATAGAGATTATCGTAAGAGATATATAATATTGGTTTAAGTATAATTTTCCCTGTATTCAATATAAACCAGTATAATGTATAAAAACATAATTATTCCAATAATATAATACTGCAGTTTACATGATCATATTTTTAAACAGCTGCTAAACGCTATAGGTAAAACTTTACTGTAGTACTATTATGCGGTAAGCAGTCGTGTGACTTATTGTCCTTATGCGTTCTGTGAGAACGACAGAATATTCCAAGTTACTGGACAGTAAAAAAAAGTATATTATTAATATTTTATATTTGAGCTACCCCGCTAGACCGCAATCATAAAACCGATTGACGTTTTTAACTCATAATGGTAAATCATATATTTTTTATTTTAAAATATTTTTATCGCCATTTGTAACCTTATCTTGCACACTTCCATACTCTTACAATGTGTATATATTTTTCTCATTGGCTTTAGAGAAATCGAGAATAATGCGTTAATAAATAATGTGTATAGAATCGAAATTTTTAACATAATTTTTTTTTTTAGACACACGAGTTATAACTTTTTGATTCATTGAAAAAATCATACTTATAATTATTTTTCTAAGCCTAAAATTTTAATAAACCGCGAGTAATAAATTTTTTTCTCAAAAATGTCTCAAACGCTATGTCGTGGCCATGTGATAAAGGCTAAAAAAATGATCCACAATTTTCCTTGAAATCTTTTTGTATATATTTAAAAAAAAATAAGAAAACGTCAAAATATATATAGGTACGTATAACAAAATAAAATAAAATTCTGCTACAATAATTAAATAAGTAATATAAATATATAGGTATAGGTTTATGACATACAATTAATAATAACAATTATTAACTAGTTTTTGGTCGCGATTGTATATTTTAGTGTCACCACAATGACAATATCTACAGTTTATACGGTGGGGTGAGGGGGAATCCAACATCATTCCCAATTATTGGAGGACGAGTCGGCGCTGCAGTTGATCTTCTGCGTGGCCACGTCGCCGTACGCTATGGTGAACACGCTTTTCTTCTCCAACATTTGCGCAGATCTGTATGGCGCCCTGCAGCCGTGTGGCGGCAACGACGTGGACAACCGTCTGCGGGCCAGGGCGCGAGACCTGAGCGATGGCGTCATGTACTGCAACTGCCTGTCTAGGTCAAGTTCCCGAATACTGGAATAGGACCGGGACTTGCGCTTATCCGCGTCCGCCACGTCCGCCGACAACGAGGACGCCGACGACGTGGCAAACAGTCTCCGCCGCCCCGGTGCCGTTTTCGCCCCTACTCCGGATCCCCCAGCTACCGATCCCGATCCACCCATTACCGATCCAGATCCCGTTCCCGTGGCTCCGCGTCCCGCCAACGACGATCGCAAGCCGCTGCTGGCACCCGAACCGCTGCCCGTCTCCTCCATGATCGGACTGTTGAACAATTGTCTGCGAGGCATGCTGGTCGACCGGCGTGGACAGTGCGCAGACCTAGAACACTCGCGGTCGTCGTAACTCCGACTCCGCCTGCCACCGACGCCGCCACCGCCGCCGCTGACTCGCAAACACGATCTAGTCGTCTGTGTGCCCGCGTGCATCTCCGTCTGCGTGGCCATGTTAGCTCCCGGCAAACTCCTCGTCTCCAGTCTCGTCATCAACTTTTGTTGTTCCTCCGCCAAAAACCTGCAAACATTGTTTTTCACAATGAGTACCTACTTTGATCGTAGACTTATTAATATACGGACTGCGCGTCCCAGGATCCGCATACACTACTATATATAAGTCGCCGTTTGCCGACATTTCTAGAAAGGGTTCCAATACATATTACATATGTGTAATATAATGGGACCTGACTACCTAAGGTGTATATTATCTTTTTCTAACAATGTTTGCTCTTGGACCTCTCAGTTGTGGATTTAAGGGGGAGGGCAACGATCCCCCCAGGGCATTTTTTTTACTTGAATTATAGCGCCTTATGATATAATGACTATGAAATTCATAAGTCATAATTATAACTTCAAACTTAATAAATGATACAAAAAAGGTATTTTTTTTTAATATCTTATCAATTATATTGTTATTTTATTATCAACACAAATTATCGATTTTAAATAACAAGATTATGTTCAAAACAAATTTGAAATTGATTATACATAATAAAAGAATATTTTCTTTGTTATAACCAAAATTGCTGTAGACAACTAGCTATGGTTATAGTTTTAGATTATAGATAGAATGACAGATGAAATCATTTTACCGCCAAGCACTGCTGCAGCATGCTACACCGCCATATAAATCTGTTAGGGAACGGAAAAAAGTCCCTTATATAAAGTCCCAGAAAAAAAGTCTCAAGGAAAAATAGTCTCGGGGCAAAAAAAGTTCATAAAACTATAAAATAATTTTTAAAAGTTACAGCGATAACAATTTATACAACTAGGATTTTTAAAATTATGTAATATTTTTTTTTCCTATTCTGTATAAATGTTCCTGACAAGTCGTCTAACTTCGTGATATATAAATGTATAATATTTTAATAATATTATTGACTAAGACAGTGGCGTATTTACGGGGGGGGGGATCATTGGGTTTGATCCCCCCCCAAGGCTTGAGTTGAGTTTTTTTTTTTTTTTTTTAAATCTAAATTAGACGATAGTCCGGGAGCCGTCGAAGAGTGAGGACTGAGGAGAGCGCGCGAGCAGCTGCTGGCTTATTTTGTAGTATTTCTGGACATTCTACTGGTAAAGAAAAATGTATCCTTGAAAAAAAAAGGAGTAGAGAATAATATACAATCTTTATGTGCAACTATTCCTAAATTGTTATATAATGGATCATTAGAAATTAAATCTGCCAAGTTTGTTGATGTTCAATGCCTAGCATCAAAGTATGTTCCACCTGAATACATTTGGTTCTATAGATCTTTAGTTGAAGAAACCAGTTCTAATCAAGATAACAATGGTACTATATCCAATGATGAAGATGACTAGGTATTAAAAATTGTTACTCAGTTTTAATATTAATATTAAAGAAAATATATTTTAGAATATTAAGAAATCAAAATGATTATTAGTTTTGTTTTATTAATTTTATTGTTTTGAAGTATAATTTTGTTTAAGATTTCAAATTTGAATTATTATGAGTGATATTATTTATTATTTTTATTATAAAATTTAAGAATCGAGGAGATTATAAGTTTTGTTTTATTAATTTTATTGTTTTGAAGTATAATTTTGTTTAAGATTTCAAATTTGAATTATTATGAGTGATATTATTTATTATTTTTATTATAAAATTTAAGAATCAAGGAGATCATTAGTTTTGTTTCAAATATTTTACTGTTTAACTATGATTGATAAAAATCAAGTTAATTAATAGTTTTGTTATAAATATTTCATTGGTTTTTATTATTTTATTTGTTGTAAGATATTATATGTAATGACTGATAAAATCAAGCTGATAAATAAAATATCCATGTTACTAATATTTTTATTTTACTATCTTTTACCATGTTCATATCATTTATAATGTAGTTAAATGTGTTTACATTCTACTATGACTAATATTATTACCTATCGCTATCTTTAAGGTATGATAGCCAGTTTTTATGTAAAATTAAATGAATAACAATTTAATTTTTCAGTTAACATAATACTAAGTGGTTAAAGTAGAAATATTACTGAAGAATAAACAAAATTCATAAAGTAATACATTTAAACTATATATAGCTAAATATTATTAGTGGAAAAACTTATGACTTCTATACACTTACTAAGCTTATTTTAATAAATTTATTTGTATATTTATCAGAGTTAAAACTAAAAACAATAAATCATTTTTGGAGTTATCTTGTTTATTGTCCAGAAATTATAACTATTTTTTTGTTTATTTTTAAAATCATGTACAGGTTTAGTTTTTTTTTCTTAAAACTCAAGTATGCTGTTTGATAGTATAATTATATGATAATTATTAACTCAGTTAAATAAAAAAAACTAATTCTTAGTAAGATTTTTACATTATAAAAAAAATAAAAAAAAAGATTTAATAACTCCGAGCAATAAACAAGACAACTCCAAGAAAAATTTCTTATTTGTGGCTAAAAGTGTAAAAAATATTCATGTATCAACTTAATTAAGGGTACCACAGTTTTTATCACTATTTTAAGTATATAAAATAATTTTTCTTTTTATTATTCTTCACTTAAATATATATTAAACATTAAATATGTGCTTCCTGAAAAAAATGATAAAACGGAGCTGTCTGGTTATTGCACAGAGCCCTTCAATTGTCCAAAACATCTAGAAAACTAGACTTTGTTTTGTAAAATAAAAATAAAAAAAATTGTAGTAAAATTGTAGTTTTATATTTAAGTATTTAAAGTTAGGGGTGAGGGGGGCGGAGGCCCCCTCGAGTTGATAAGTACTGGATAAAATCATATCCCCCCCCATGACAAAATCCTAAATACGCCACTGGACTAAGATTGAATGAGATATTTTTTTTTTATAATTTTATAATTATTAGCTATTATTTTTGTTTTATCTGTTTTGTATTTAGTAGTTATCTATTATATGATTACATAATTATTAGATATTATTTTTAAAAAACAGACTTTTTACCCCCAAGACTTTTTTCCTACCATCAGTGCTGAATACTTTATTTTCAATGTTCATTGACAGATTTTGGGCTGGTAAAAAAAGAACCATACAATTGTTGCTTAAATAAATTAGTTTATTTAATATTGAATAAAAGACTGTTGAATTTTTACACGGTTTAATTTTTTTTTATATATTACAGATGTTTATTGACTAATATGTATTTATTGAAATTCTATGATACCAATTCCCCCCTCCTTAAATGAGCTTCAGATCCACTACTGGGACCTCTCCCTCAGTCTATTTCTTTATAGGACTATGACTTCGATACTCTAATACGATAATTATATTACCATGCATCTATAAATAAACAAATTATTTTCCTCACTTGGTCAATAGCACGTCTCTTTGGAATGCGGTCATTTTCTTTTGTTCTTCATCGATATCTTCTTTTTTTACTTCTTCGAATTGCGTTTTCTCTACATTTCCTTTTACGCTTTCGTTGTATTGATCATCGACTACGATCTCGTCGGGTTGACTGTTCAAAAACTTGTTCATAATTACTTTTTTACCGGCCAATTCGTCAAACACGTTAAATCCGCCCACATTGGACGCCGAGTCCATTACTTCCAACGAATCGTTAGACATGATACGTAAGATTTCCGCGTTGCCTTGTTTGAAAAACATTTCTTGTCTAGTGTCGGTTGTCTCGTCGGACCAAGACCTCCGTTTGTCTATGATCCTATATTCATTGCCTCCGACGTCCTCTATGAGCAATGACTCTGCGCTCGCTTTTTTCTTAACCAAATTCGGTATCACCTTCGTCCTTGTCCTTTTCGCTATTCGGATCGGAGTAACCGGTTTCTCACTCAAAATATATACCTTTTGCCGAGGGTCGATTTCGGTCGATTCGCTAGAATTCGGAGAAGGCGCTTGAATACCTTTGTTTTTAGTACGGTCATGTCGGTGGGGTTTACTGAAAAATTATATAATATAACGTCATACAAATAATATACAATAAAACGACACATTACCAAACACATGGCTTCACCATTTCGTCACTTTTAAATGAGCCATAGCGTACGTGAAAAATGATCATAACTTAACAAGTAAGTACCTACTTAATGCTGCACTACAGTCGTTGTTATAGCCGTATGTAGTTATGTCATTCACTTTAAGTTGTGAAAAACTTAAAAACATCAAATATGATTTATAACGACCATTATTCAACGATAATCGCTATCGATTTGTTTCATTTGGAAGTTTGATTTTAAAATGAACACCCAAGAAACCTCATAATTATATGTGTAATTTTTTTTTTACCGTCACTGCGTGCGTAGTGTATAAACTGTAGTAGTATAAAACATATGGTTGAAAAATGTGTAGGTATATTAGAACAAGCAAATTAAAATAAATGATATCAACAATATAAATTGTGAATAATCGACCACCAATAAAAATAAATATTCCTTTCTCTATAGTATGTCTGTATGTATCTTATACTATATATACCTAGCTGCATGTAATAGTCGATTATTTCTTTTTATGTAAAAATTATCATTAAATTAAATTTAAAATGTTAGATTTCGTAAACTTACTTAATTCTACTACTATATTAAATATTTATTTCAGTTTTTATTTAATTTATATATTTATTTAAATTATAAACAAATATACGCTTTAAATTGTTATGTTCAAAAAGTATAAAATGTTGAATACTAATTGAGTTGGTGGGAGTCTATTTTTTCTGTTAATACATATGGTTAATTTTTAAAGAAAAAAGGTTTCTATAGGTAATTAAACAAATTAAAATAATTTATATTCAATGCACCCTTATTAATTACTAGTTTTAGTTTATGATTTTCGGGATTTATGAACAGAGGTGAATCGTAAATATAATATTATCTATAACAAAAGCTTTTACGGTCAGGACTCTATGAGATTATTTTGATCTAGTAGTCATATTATTAAAAATATAAAATTATATTCTTTTTTTTTGTAGGTACCCAACAGATATGTTTTTTATTCATCTTGTTGTCATCTCTGCTTATATTATAATATAATGAAGTTAAAATACAAAAGTAATTATAAACATTAAACACAACGAAGGAATTAAAAATGTTTGAAATCTATTGATACAGGATGTGAATTTATTTTAAATTCTGTTTGAGTTTACAATCTTATACTATCGTCTATTTGATTTTATTTAACACATTGTGAAAAATAACTAAATTATATGGAAAATGAATAAATTATACTTATTATATATTACTCTTATTAACATGTTAATTATGCATGATATTTTTTAATGTATTAATTATTATTATAATATTGAAATACATTTTAGGTTAGGTTAGGTTATTATACCATTATACCAAGATTTTATATGCAATTGCAAATATTGTGTTTCATTTTATTTATATTATTCATGTTCATCCAGCTTTAAATTTTAATTGTATACTATTTATAATTTATGTATACATTATTTTTTTTTGATGATTTAATATTTTTACCTTTATACTGAAAAAGTCTAAATTGAAAACTAGTTTTAGAAATCAGTACTTACTAAGTATTTCTTTTTAATTTACCAACCTATAACGTGTTTGTCATTTTAGCATACATACTTACTTATATAAAATATTATATATAATATTATATTTTTCTACTTTTCTAATAAAGAACTATTTGAAGTAACTTAAATAATATTATACTCACTTGTGAATACATCGAAGATATTGTTGATAACAACAGCAAAATAACAGTGATAAGGCCGCCAACAATATGGCTAGCAATAACAATAAATTCAACCAGAAAGACAGATTTTTATCGTTGCGGTTATCCACCTACAAGTAGACATTTCCTAGGTTTAGTTACTTCATTAATAATAATAATAATAACAATAATAATAATAATAATAAAACATCCAAAAACGATATTATTTTGTTGTTTATGGTAGATATCTGAGCAACTTTACTTATACGGTTGAATTAGTTAAATTTATATGTATTGCCCAATTTAAATGAATATTAGTAACCCATTTGTGTTATAAACTGTGATAGAAATAATATAGGTATAGAATACTTTAGCAGGCGTAACAAATATTCTTGTTCTTCAGTCCAATTAATGAAACAGAAGCCCACCCAACAAAAAACCTATGAATACATAATTTATGTATATTTTTTCTAAAAATAGTTATCAGTTATTGCCTATGTATAATTATAAGTGTTCTGCTGTTCAGATTTTTTCTAATAAAATGTCCCCATATAATCGTTATTAATTAATCAGACTTTTGTAATACGATTTTATTATTATCATTGAGTACATGACACGTCACTACTATTTTGTCATAAAATAAGATACCAATATACCATGGTAATTAGATTTAATTTTAGTATACATTTAAATCAAAAAGTGTACGCTAAAGCTAAATACATTCACGGTTTAATGACCCATTTAATAACTTATTTTTATTAAATTAGTCCCAAATGAATATTTTTAAAATTTAAATTGTTTAATTTAATTCTGTTTAATTTATGCATATCATATAATAGTCCACAAAAACTAATTTACATTGAAATAATTTATCAAAACGAAGCACAAACTACACGTGGATCATGGCCGGACTACTTAAAAATGATTAACGTTGCCCGATTATGGATCTAGAGAGTGGTAATTTTTTAGTTTGATTTGAGGAATCACTAATCTTACTTGTTTAGTGAATACAGTTTATTTAAATTGTTTAAACAAAAAATGCTACAGATACCCATTTTATTGCAATACAGTTAGTTGTATAGTACACTTGCATGCCTACACTATATGTATATCGACTTATAATTTATTTTAATAACAACTATATTACTTGGGCCATTTGGACTTCGTTGCTGCACTGGGCTAAGTGTTTGCGGAACTCTTCTACGTCGATTACGGTATTCGTATTGTATGCGACGGTGGCGGTCACAATATTTCTAAGCACAGACAATAATAATGATATAATAACCTCGTTAGTTCGATTGATGGGTTGAAGACGGAAAGTATACTATTACGAGGTGCTCGTATTTTATATTATATACTTTTCTGTGTTGGCAGCCGGTCGTTGGACGTGTTCGTAGTTGGGCTTTATCGAATTGATGGTCACCTTTCCGCCCGTCAGGCGTTCTAACAGATTGTGCACGGCCGCCACATCCATCGAAGCGGGAATGAGAAACGTCATTTGTCTGGCACCGGACGACGGTGGATAAATTCTCACTTGTGTCGTGGACGACCGATGGGGCACGCCTGTAGTATAAAGCATAATGCATAAATGACAGGTGATTAGAAATGGTTTAAGCTCTGCCTCAGATGACCTGCAGTCAGATCTGAACCATATTATAGTATGGTCTCACCTAAATCGTAAGCCCTGACTGTGAGTACGACGAACGCGCTGTTTGTCGAATCCCTTCTGGTCCGGCTCGAATCGTACAAGTCGCTGGATATGAATAGTTCTCCTAAAAGCGTTTTTTGAGTGAGTCGTAAAAAAATACCGTGCTTGATTAATTGCCGGTGATAGGATAAAACTGTAGTTAAGGGGTTTCAGGTGGTCGCTATATACGACGCTATAGACTAAAATTCCGGCACGACACGACAATGTGCGCCGCTCGGACACAAAAGAGTCGTAAATTGTGAGTATAGCACACTCACACACACAATATAATAACAAAAATAATAATAAGACAATATTTCATCCGAAAATATAATATAACGTCTGAGCGCGCACCAGTATGTATGTCTGTGTGTGTGTGTATGAATATATCTATGGACTATGAGCCTTACCGGTTTCTGGATTCAGGGTGAAGCGATTGTTGTAGTTGCCGTTTATTATCTCATAACGCACTACGTTGTTCGGAGCTTCTGCGTCATTGTCGATAGCCTAAGACAAGAGAAGAACAAAAATACTTATAAAATAATATTGTGGTCGGGTCGTTTAATGTATAATGTTTGGTTTGTTTAGTATGAAATGAGAAAATATAATGCGAATAAAATTATTTTATACTCAGTACAATTTTTCAAGTTTTTCATTTCAAGACTAGCTATAGTATAGGTTTTCATATTTTATCAGGTAGAATCTCGGTTATTGTGCTCTATAGAATCATTGATTAGTGTAATGTACTAATGTACATAATAATTTATATTTAATCAATTATACCTACAGTATTAGTGTGAAAGGAAACATTTCTGAAAAACTATACTTATATCGTATATTGTATATGGTATATAACGTATCTAAGAATACGGAACAAAATATCGGACAAAATGTTATATTTTTAGAGATTAAACAAAATACAAGTATACAACACTATATCTAAACCACCATGTTTTTAAGTTCTTAAACTCGAAATACACTATAGCCTTCACTAAATTTTTTTAAGTCACATTTTTAAAATATAATTATGTTGTGTATCAAAAACATAGTTGGCTGTATCACCCCCTATATAAATTCATCACTCCTATGGAAATGGTATTTATATATATGAATGGCATCATTAAAGTATGAAAAACTGTCGACCTTGATAAAAGCTCGTTCTGTGAAGTTACGCATATCTTGCGTCAAGACAAATTGGATCGGCGTGTCCTGGAAAACCGGTGTTTCGTCGTTTATGTCCAACACGTGTATAATGAGTGGCACGGTTGACGCTAAGCCACTTCCATCCGTGTCACGGGCTTCCACAGTTAATCTGTACTCTATATAATCAAAGGGAGTTTTTCGATATGAGTGCGTTGAAGTCAAATATAAGTCTATTTTAACTATTTTTAGAACTGAAACATTGATTGTATAGTTAAATTGTTTTGTATAATAATAATATGATGCGTTGTAGTTATCTACTATGAATAATAAACTATATGGATACCTCATACCTTAACTTTTTGACTAGTGATATTGGAATTTATAGAATAATAATATAATAATGTTATTTTCTGAATTTTCAAGTTAAAACTAATACATTTACATCGGAGATAAGAATCTATAGGTGGAAGATAAATATTTTAAAAACAATGTAAGATCTGCTCTTATAACTATAGAAATCATTTCAAATACAAGTTAAGCCCCATTATAAAAATAATAGTAATAATATTAATGCTCTCAAAGAAACAAACACCACGACATTGATAACCATATTATAATATAATATAATATAAGACTGTGTGCGGTATATTTTAATAATTTATCGGTGCACCAGTGACGGTATTATAGTACATATATTATAAAATAATATATACTATAATAGCCTATATATGTATTGTATATATAGATCTATATAATACTATTATTTCGATTTCATTACGAGAAATTAATGTACAGACCTTCCTCGGCTGCTGTGAGACAATTCACGTTATCTGCGCAAAAATCTACTGTTATTATTCCGTACAACCAACGTCGAGGTTGGCGCACATAATATGTATAATACGTATAACTAATGGATTCCCAACGCGAGTCGTTTCGTAAAGTAGTTTTCTCGTTCTCGGTTCATAACACGCAAACGAGATACAGCAGATAAAACATAATTTAATAAATTATTATTAACAATAAGCATTTTAGCCCGTATTTTTGATTCTCGACGAAGCTAGAAATACGTATTAATTATAGATGTATAAATGTATTTATTTTCACAGTGATGTGTTTTCTAGATTCTGAGCTCAGCGTTGACTGTTTTGGTTTTACAATTATGTTGGTAATAAAATTTAAAAATTCAAAAATTCCTAGTACTTTTCTAAATAATCAGGAAAAACAAGAAAACGTATTTGAACATAATATCAAGTAGGTAGTCATTTTTATATTGTCATATTATATTGTGTACTTAATTGTAATGTGCTGTATTGAGCCCATTACCGGCGCTTATATTAATAAATAAATAAATAAATGATTCGTTCATTGTTGCATTGGTGCATTACTCCATCATTACGTACTTGTAAGTATAGTACACACTACACGTGTACACTTGATGTTTATAATGCTTACCTGCGGATTCCTCTCTGTCGAATCCGTGATTGTCGTTGGACACCACGATGACGCCCGTGATCGGGTCGAGTACCAACGACGAGTTCTTGTAGCCCAACACGGCCGTGTACCGGACGCTGCCAAACGGTCCGGTGTCCGAATCCACTGCCTCGACTGTGGTCACTCGGACGCCGGCCGTGGCGTTCTCCGGCAACTGGACGTCGTACTCGGCGCTCGTGAACCGAGGGGCGTTGTCATTGACGTCGTCCAAGTACACAACAACAGACGCCCTGGCCGAAGTCCGCGTGCGGTTCGCGTCTCCGCCGGACACGGACAACTCTGTCGCCAACACCTACATCACATAATTGGCGATCATTATTGTATAATTATCATTACAGTCGTCGTTTTTGTGATAAACCATTTGGATGTCGTCGGAATGTAAGGTATGTACTCGTTTGGACGAAGCTCAAGAAATCTCGACGTATAGACCGTTTTCATCGATCAGTCGAATCTCTTATAATTTATCGGAAAAAAAATATGGTGGTCCTATTATTATTAATTATTACAATGAAACTGTTGGTTTTGTTTATGGAGAGTGATGTTCAATCGTACTTAGGTGTCCCACCAACCAGCCATCGGCAGCGAATACCGATCTACGGAACGACGACAGTGATCTACCCGGCGGTCGGAAAATACTGATTTATGATAAGTGATAACCTTCTATTAATTTTATAATTATTATTAAGAAATAAACGTTATAACTTATAACTTTTAAGTTATAATACATAATGTCATGGAAAACAAATTGAAATTTCAGAGTTAATATATTAATTCATAGACGCAAATTTAAGGGTGGCTTAGGGGGTTTAGCCCCCCCCCCCCAAATAATATATTTATTATTTATTAAATGAACTCATATATTGACTATTGAGTATATGTATGGAATTGGTGAATAAGGGATGGATGGTTTGAGTATTCAAAGCAGGGCTTGAAACCGGTAACCGATTTTTCCCGGTAACCGGTTACCATGAGTACTTTTTGGACTGGTATCCGCTTCCCGGTTCTCGAGTTTCAATTTTGAGAAGCGGTTATCAATTACCGGTAATCACGGAATTTGATAAAGGGGGAAATCTATAACGATAACCGTTTATTTTAAAACCGGTTAATTAATCGGAAGTATACAAAACCGTAAATCTCAAACCAATTAACGTAAAAATATTTTTTTTTTTAGTTATATTGAATATTCTAAATAGAAGAAAATAATATTTATAAAATACTAAAATAGATTATTTTAGAACTACTAAGTATTAAAATTTAAAAATACCAAAACAAGCGTATTTGATTGTGGAATCGTATCGGCGCACTAACAAAAGATTCTCAGTAGTCAGTATCTATAATATAGGTATTAGGTACTGAATACTGATATGAATGGTAGAAACATCGACGAATGCGGGCTGATACATATATATATAATAGTATATAACTCTTGCATGTACGATGTTTTATATTTTTAAGTTCTTAAGTATCTTAAAGAAGAACAATAGATATAGATACCTACTACTTTTATGTACCTAGTTGTTATTTTTAATCTTTTTTTTACGCCTCTTCTTATCTCCAGTCATACCACAACAAAATGCATGAATAGTTTTAAAAATGACATGTTAAGTTTGATGAAAAAAAAATACAGTAGGTATAAAATCAAAAAAAAAAAAAAAAATGGTTTTGTGAGGTAACCGGTAATTTTGAAGATTTAAAACCGCTTCCAAATAGATAACCGGTAATCCCATTTATAAAATTTATTTCGGTAAGCGGGAAATGATTATCATTATTTCTAAAAACCTCGATAACCGGTAACCGGTTCCAAAAAATTTTCCGGGTCCTGCCGGACCCGGTAACCTATTTCTTCAGGAGCGGTTTCAAGCCCTGATTCAAAGAAATATATTACTAAAAGTACTTAAACAATTCACCACGATTATATACATAATTTTCGAATTAGATATTTTTCAACGACGTAAAAATTAACAACAAACTACAAAAGTCTTGGACTGTTGTACTGCAGTGTCGTGTACGCCAAAAACGACTATACTTAACCTCGAAACGGACCGATCGGCTACTCTCGAAGTCCAACAAATGGTTGTTGCGCACCATAATGGTGAACCGGCCATGTCTATCAATCACGGCGGGCGTCACTTCAAAAGTTCCGTTATTGTTTTCCAAAGTCAGCGCGTACACAGACTCCTTGCCCTATATATTTATATATACATATAGAACATCGTTTAACACGAGTGTAATGAACATTAATACAATAATAACACTTTAATACTCGATCCACAAACGTTTGCAAGTGATGAGCAAAGTATTGATCGCAACCTTACAAATTTATTTCGACCTATAAGTAAATCCAAGAGCAGCAAGTTTGCGCACCTAGTCGGGTTAACTGTCATTATAGTATTACCCAGTGGCGTGTAGAACATATTTTTCGGGTGAGGCCCAGTGACATTTTCTATACCTATATATATAGTACTTACCCCCTTATGATCAATCACTAATCAGTATACTTGTTTTAGTTTTTAACGTCTTATTCCAGCTGAAATTATTATCTTTGAATTGTGTACAAGTAACTGAATATTTTTGAATACCTAGTCTGAACAGGTGTATTCAGCTATATTATATTAGCTATATATAGTAGAGTAATGATACAATTATTACATTTCGTACATTGCTTCAATATACTATAGGTACTCGGATCTCAATCGCTGTCATTCGCAGACCACAGAAATTGAGTGTAAAACCTAATATTGTATTTAATAAATATTGTCAACATTATTGAATGCTTTCAAGTTTCAAACATGTATCTAATAACCGTAGAATGTGGACTAAATATAATAAGTTATATGAAATAGCTGGACCCCTGGACCAGGCCCGTTCGTAATTTTATATTATATACATTGCTAAAAAGTAGACATTTCGCTATTGTACAATTGTACCTACTTGTATCTACTGATGTATACAATTTTTGTTAAAATGTAATTGTAAAATTAACAATATATTATGTTTTATTTTTGACCGACCCGAGTAGGTTATAGATATATAACATTATAATACTAATATTAGCTGAATTACACGGCGTTACCCGGGAAAAAAATTGTGATTGTTGAACAACATGGCACGGCCTCAAAAAACAGTCTTCACCACGCCACTGGACAATTACATTTGGTGAGAAAAAAACTGGACTTCGAGAAAGACCGTAGTTCAAAGAACAAGATTAATACCTATATCATCCACAAAATCCACTGTCATGGTAGTGTTTAATATTGGCCTTGCTTATCACAATACAGCAGTCCGCACGTGTAAAGACGTATACATAGCATAATATGCAAAATACATACCATACTGTCGTCATGCACTTGCATCACGTAACCATCGGTGAACGCCAATGTCGTCCCTTGACCGCTGTTCTCGTTCAGGTGGCAAGCGTAACTGCGTATGCACAAGTCGTTTATATTTTAATATATTTTTCTAATGTGGGAACAATATATAGGCCATAGGGGCAGGATATAAGGAAATGCGGTTGTATGGATATTTTATGCTATTTCGAGTTTGTTTAATACATGCCTGTTATCACCGTCATTGTCCACGTATATAACTTTTTTTTGTATTTATAAAATATAATTTTGGAATATTTGTATTTTATTATAGATATCCACAATTGTTGAAACTTTAAGCGTATAATATTTTTGGTTTACCCGTAATCAAAATACAAATGTATTATAGAAAATAATAAAATTGTTATATGTGTATTAATAATATTATATTTACATAAAGTTATACCCATTGAATTATAAAATTTCATCAATGTTTCAAAATATAATTGTGTAAGTTTTAAAGTTTAGATATGTGACGACTAATAAAATACCTAGTAAGAGAACAGTTATTACGAGCACAAACACGGTCAGACACCTTGTACGTGATATTATGTACTTTTTGTTGTGGAAATATGGAGGACGGTCGACCACGTCGTCAAGTATAAGCACCACGTCGGCCAGGGTGGACATGGCAGGAGGCTCTCCGGTCCCGGTTACTTCTTCATCTGCCATCACGGTCAATATAGCAGGCTGTTTTCCACCGGTTATTTTAGTTACCTCTGACATGGACCTCTTCAACTTTACCTCGCCTGTCACAAAATAAAATATAACTCATCAATACCAAAACAGAGTTCAACAAACGGCAGCTAACAAACGGCTGCTAACCTGAAAATAGACCTATTTCGAACAACACGGTGAAAGGCCTGTTTTCCGAAACCAAACCGTATTTAATTCGCCGGGGTCGACCCCTATCGCCGTCTATTGCCTCCACTTTAGTCACAACATCTCCCTGTAAGACCATACAACAAATATGAGATATACGTAAGGAACTTCTAACATAAAATCTCTTTTCTCAGATCAAGAGAATTTATATCTCAAATGAGTTTCGTGTTCGACTCTTGTCTAAAAGAGTTTAAAGTTTGTATTAAAGTCTGTTCTAAATTTTTGCGATTCCTAGTCATTCTTTATCCATTGTATATTGACCAACTTTATAATTGCGCGCTATTCTCACTTTGCTTCTTTACACTGGTTTTGTTCTTACGTCCTACCTCGATTAAATAAACGTTACTAATAAATAATATTTAGTACCTACCTCTAATTCCACAAAAACGCTTTTATTTTATTTCTATATGTAAAACGTGTTGTGAAATTGTTAAAAATGTTTACAACGGTATTATCACTTAATACATGGTATTAATGTACAATATTATAAAAAATGTACAACCATCGCAATAACTAAAAGCTGGAATGATTTCGTTTCTTGTGTTTAAACTTTAAACATTCCATAAAATAAATCGATATTTAAAGGTTATAAATATTAAATTATAATATAACAGTTATATTATATTTATAATTCCCCATTTTATTCGCTACTTTTTATTGTGCACATTAGCGCATTGCGCATAGTCACATCGATAACTAAATAACTAATAGAAGTAGGTACCTGTTATATTATATTTATAATTCCCTATTTTATTCGTTACTTTTCATTGTGCACATTAGCACATTGCGCATAGTCACATTGATAACTAAATAACTAATAGAAGTACCTACCTATACAGATAGGTACTCATAAAGAGGACACCACACACACAAATGTTGTCTCCGTCTTAAAAAATCGAAACTTTGGCCAATATTACAGTTCACATTTAGTTTAAAAATTTTTATGTTAGAGTGAATATTTAAGTGAATTACCTATTATCAAGCAATAAACTTAAAAGTTAAAGGTAACAACATTTTCTTCGTTTTATTGTAGGCGTTTTTTCGATGCTTTAAAGCGAGTCGTAAGAATTATTTAATTTTAAACACATATTACCTAGTTATAACTATATAAAACTAACGCCAAAACACACCTTCAACTTGATATGGAGGCAATATATATTATATAGTATATGGGTGTATGGCGTTCTCTTATAACTTATCTAATATTCTTTTAGTCTAAAGAAGGTTTCAAAAATAAATTCATTACGCGCCTCCAGAAACTTTACGGTAATACGGTATTAAACTATTATAGTTAATCCTTTCTCCAAGCATCCACCTGGACATTCCTCGTACAATCGTCTATCACGGTGCATAAACATTTTAAAAGGTACCTTATCTGCGTAATATTAAGTACAGAACATTGAAATCGAATTCGATTTCTTCTCGATACACATTATTATTAAACGTTTTATTATTGTTATTATTATTACCATCGTCGTTATTATGATATTATTGTTACAATATACGTTACGGATAATAGGTATACAATATATTATATGAGTGCGTGTGTGCGTGTGTGCGTAAACGATTGGTGGTGGCCTCACAATGGACATGTTGTTATGCAGATGCACTATTGTTTCGAGTCGGGTGAATATCGGCGGCGTGTCTTGCACGTCTTCCACGACCACGATGACCTCGAACGCCGCCGCGTTTCTGGAATCTTTGCCAATCTCCACGTACATGTCCAGTGCGACCACTTGTAGCCGGTACATGTTCCTGGTCTCGAAGTCCAGCGGCCGGGACACCGATATCGTACCGGTGGTCGTGTCCTTGTTCATGCGCAACCCACCTATGGTCAACTCTGGAGATCCCTAAGACACATGTACATGAGAAAATCTTATTTTTTTTTTTTACTTTATAGTCTATTATTTGTATAAAAAATAGTTATAATAAAAGATAAACAATAATAATAATACAAATATTGATAAGTAAAATAAAATATTAAAAAAAATCGGGTAAATGGAAGTCGCTCTGCTGTACAACAGTAGGTACATGTGGGTCATTGTAATGGACGGTGTTAAATTTGAATTCAAGGATATAAAACCATTGTACCTATACGAAAAACGATTCTGAACGAAGACAGACTGTAATATTACTAAATATTAAATAATAATTGATGATATTATTGTAATTTATTTTACTATTAGTACAACTATACAGTATTTTAAATTAATTTCTGCCAAACCAATTACATTTGTAAATGTCAATAATATTGTATTGTTATATTTTATTTATAATAATTATATATATACGTTTTTAGATTCTGAGTGAAACGATGAATGTATTGATTTTACAATGATGTCTGTTTTTTTATTTTTTTATTTTTTTGTGTCTGTGTACACGATAAGTAGTCGAAATAATGCTTCGATTTTCGACTTCAGTATCTTGTTCGATTGGAAAGTGAATATCGTTGGTGCATTGGGGAGGTCAAAATTTAAAATTTCCAGTACTTTTCAAAAGCGCCAAGAAAAACAAAAGAAAAATTAAGGAAAAACGGGAATTTTTACGCAAAATTGATTTTTCAGAAAATTGAATTTGGTTTTTGGTGTAACTTTAAAACAAATGACCGTAGATTCATGAAATTTTCACTGGTTGTTTATATTTGCATTTTCTATACACGATAACATTTTCAAAATATTTTGATTTATTTTGAACTGTTTAGGGACATTTTCATTTTTCATTTTTTTTTAGTTTTTTTTCTAGAAATATCAATTCAATTTTATTTGTTGGTTAAAAAAACTTGAAAACTTAATAAAAGGCTCCTAGTATATTGTTTCAAAGGCAGATGAAAAATATTAAAAATCGTTAGTCACAGTTTTTTTTTATAATAGCATTTAAAGTTCAAAAATTGACAAAATATGGAAAAATCACGAAAATTAGCAATTTATTTTGAGTTAAGAATTCGTAAAAATTTTTCTTTTTAAATCTAAGATTTGAAAATGTAATACAAGATTACTCATAAGTTTTTCTACCTTTATCAATGAAAAATCTCTACCGGACAGTCAAATTAAATTTTTATGAGCGTTTGAAATTCAAATTTTTACAACATTGGATGTTCATTCGATTTCTCATGTAGCGATTTCCTTATTTTGTTGTTATTCATAAATGAATAACTATAGATACATGAAATTTCAATGAATGTTTAAATGAGCATTTCCTATACACCATACAATTTTGAAAATATTTTGACTCTTTTTGAGCTGTTTACGGATATTTTCATTTTTCAATTTTTTTAGTTTTTTTTTCTATGAATATCAATAAAGTTTTATCTGTTGGGCCAAAAAGTGTAAAAATTTAATACAAGGCTCCTGATATATTGTTACAATATCAGTTGAAAAATATTAAAAATACATAGGCACAATTTTTTTTTATAAGAATTTAAACATCGAATTTTGACAGAATTTTTCAAAATCTCGAAAATTATTAATCATCGTAATTAATAAATTATAAAATGTTCAGTTTTTATAGCTAAGGATTGAAAATTTAAAACAAGATTCCACGTAAGTAGTTAATTCTCTTACCGAAAAATCTAAAAAATATACAATCACAGTTTATTTTTATAGTCATTTTATGTTCAAATTTGGACGAAATTACATATTAAAAAACCTAGTTATTATAATAGTACACTTTAGAAGTTTCAAGTAGGTACCCACGAATAATATTTTAGATCTATGATAGTATAAGGGTTTGTTATTGATGTTGATGTATAACGTGTTATAAGTACCTAATGGATATTGTGATAAAGTGATATGATTAATTTGGGATTTATTATAGGTCAATTTTTTTTTTAATACCATAGATATGTATATAATTTGTCTTAAACCTAGATTGACATATCGTCTTCGCTCAGAATCGTTTTTCTTATACAATGATATTGTATCATTGAATTCAAATTTAATAGCATCCATTATACAGTGACCCACTTGTAACCTACTGTACAGCAGAGCGACATCCACTTACCCACCTTTTTTAAATTGCAACGAACATTTTATTGAAATTTATAGAATAAAAAACAAAAAAAATTTCAATTTTCAAATGTCTATAAATAACGAGTCAAAATATTTTGAATATTTTGTCATATATAGAAAATGGTAAAATAAACATTTTATGAAAATTGTAAGTACCTACAGTTAATAGTTTTTGAATAACAACAAAATAGGAAAGAAAATCGTTGTATAAGAATTTGTTAACTTACTGGTGAATATCCAATGTCTAACTATTTAAAGGCTCGTAAAAAATTATTATTTGATTTCCAGTAAACTTTTTTTTTTGTTAAACGTAGAAAAACTTAAGGGGAATCTTGTATACAAATTTCAAATCTTATATTTAAATAGAAAAATTTATGAATTTTTAACTAGAAATAATTTGCTAATTTAAGTGTTTTTGATAAATGTTTTAAAAATGTTGACTACAGAAGCTCATAAAAAAATTATTGTGTATTTACGCTCAACTATTTTTTTAATTTCCACTAACATCAACTTAAGAGGAGCGCTTTATTATATTTTCAAGTAATTTTCTATCAACAATAGTATTTAAAAAAACTAATAAGGCTTTAAATAAGGCTCGACATTTTCTTCTAAATAGCTCAAAAGGAATTGCAATCTTTTGAAAATCTTATGGTGCATAGAAATCGCTAATATAAGCATTCAATAATAATTTAATCTATATTCATTATTCAGTTATTTATTTATTTTAGATTTCTCCTAAAAAACAAAATCGATTTTGTTGAAAACCAATTTTGAGTAAAAATCTCAGTTTTTCTTTAATTTTTTATTTGTTTTTTTACTTTGTAAACTATTGGGAATTTTTTACTATCGACCACTAAAATACCAACTAGATTCACTTTCTTACCAGAAAAGATGCTGTTGAAGAAAATTAAAGCATTTTTACTGTCCTAAAAGGTGATGACAGGCACAAAAAAAAATCATTGTAAAATCAATGCATTAATCGCTCCTCTCATAATCTAAAATAAACGGCAATGTAAAACGAAATATTAGGTAAAAGTATAAAAAAAATAATTCAACTATGTGGATACGCAAGCACAACTGCAGCAGTCACCAAGTCGGTAAAAGTGCGTGAGTATGCCGGATTATGGAGATTGTGGTGTGAGAAATAAATAATGATTGCCAAAATACGTAACGCACACGGTCTCTTGATCACAGACCATATGTAACAAAACCCGGTTTACTTCTTTTTTGATGCAACAATATAAAAAAAAATTAATATCTATATATTATTTTGATCTATTAGGTAGGTATATTATATTTTATAGGTACCTACGTCATGCCGAATAGAACAAATCATTAATCAACGTTGAGATTATTCGTAAATATAAATTGATTTAATATTGTTGTTATGATTAACATTTTAATTCTTTGGATAACTGATCATTTTAACTAAATTCCAACTTCCAAAGTAAAAGATTCCCTTCTTTCCACATGCTTTGCTTATAAAGGGGATTGCTCACGTAACTACGTAAGTACATGTATAGTTTATAATTTTTTTTTTATTTAAATAACTGAACTAAAATAATGTTTACTTATTTACGTTCCAAGTTGAATCAATTATTATAGTAAACATTATTATATAACTGCACCTAATGTCCTAATGGCTACTTGTAGTCGGTAAATATTATATTTATTAAGTATACCTAAGATACAAAAATGGGATTTTCAAAAAAAATCACAAAAAAAATGTAACTATATGACGTATAGAAAAATCATTCATGTTGTTTGTCTAACAAAATTAAGATAATGTTATTACATTCGCGCCAGTAACATTAAAAAATAACCATTACCGTTACTGCAGTTAGTGAAAATAAAACATTCTCCCGAAAAGCATGATGCAGACAACATTCGAATGACGCGATGAAATAGAAAAATGATCAAACAATTATGTATGAATTAAAATATATCACTAAAATATGTAAATACTTATTTATCTTAAGTTTATCTTTGCAAAGTGTTTTTAGAAAGTTATATTATTATTATTAGTGTAATAGTAGGTAAATATAAAAAAATATATTCACTATAATTATAGATGTACCTACTATAGAGTATAGAATTATGTAAGTACATTTAAAAAGTAATTAGGTAATTTAAACCTTTAATAAACATTTACTCTGAAATTATAATTACTGTCGATTGTCGACCAAATCTATTTTAATTTACTAATGTGTTATGTATATATAATTATAACTATAAGTAGTATATAACTTTATACATATTATAATAGTTATTAAGGGTTAGATATTAAAATGTCTCACCCTTAGTTCAATACTGGCGGACTTCCGTGATTCAGTATTTTTCTTGACAATCACGTATTCAAGTTCAGTGTTGACTTTGACGTCCTGTTGTAGTGTTTGACGACATCGGTTAGCAAGCAAAGTACAACATAATTTCAAAGAAAGTGTTTAACGGCAATAAATTTCGAAAATTGATGAAAAACAAACTCGTTTTACTAATCAGTACCTCTGGCACGATAATGATTGCAGGAATGTGAGGAAATATCGTTTCGACGTCACTCCGAGCTTCGGTTGCCACCAACCGAACTGGCACTGTAGTGGTGTCTCCTCTAGTGTCCCGCACCGTTATCCTGAATTGAAATGTCTGACCTGGAATCAGGACTCGATCCAAATACACGTCTGCCTGACACCCGGCTGTGGTGTTAGGGGGACATGGAAGATTTTCTATTTTTATAACATAGCTGCCAAAATCTGTAAAATTTTTTTAAAAGAGTCATTAGCTACCTATATACTTTCTAATGTAAAGTTATATTACAATTATAATTTATGAATCAATGTTTTTGTCACTTCACTGTGGACTTAGGAACAAATAACCAATTGTAAAAACATTTAAGAAATTATAATTTCTAACCATTTTGGAATTTATAGCAGAACAATTTTAGGTTTTGTTATTCATACTTTATTTTTAAAGTCAACTTGACTAATTGCATAAGTAATTTGTATCTAGGTATATGATGATAATCGATTTGTTAATAAATAACAATTTACTATTATTTGGCAAATTTTCTATATTTAAATTTTAAAAAATGAAGAGACCTAATAAATATAAATACTCCTTTAAATTTAGGAGTAAAAGTTAAGATATAAATAAAGCATAAAATTTAAAGATAAAAATAAAGTTATTGAAGGGAAGAAAACTGCAGGGCGTTCTTATAACTCCTATATGATAAATTGAAAATGATGTAAGAGTCAAAACTTTTAAGGAACTAAAAGAAAATGCCAGTAATCGATATGAACTGAGCATTTGAGATGTAAACCAACATATGGGTTGAAAAAATCAAAATACTAATAAGTAATAATATTGCTTAACATTTTTTTTATTATTTGGTCGATAGTGCTGTCAGTAAATATCGAAGGCAGAAAAAATATTGATTAAAATGCTACCAATAAATAAAATGTTACAAATCCAAAAGATTTATACAGTTTTATAGACTCTCTCCTGCAAATATACGCACACTAAATACCTGGGCAGAACGAAAGAATAATTTATTATATAATATATTATACTATTGATGTATAAATCACACATTTCACAAAGCGAACGAACAATAATATTATATTTCATAAACTTTACCGGTGGCTTGGAAATACAGCGGATAGTCCTTGTCGTGGTCGGAAGCCCTTAGTCGATAGATGAGTGATCCGACGGGCGCGCCGGCGGGCACCATCAAGCTGTCCCTAAACTCGGCGGCGCCCTCGAACGTCGGGTAATTACCGGCGACCGTGACGACCACGACGGCGGCCATCGCCAGCAACGTGGTCCAGGCGCTCATCTGCTGCTGTTAGAGCGTACTCTCCATACCTCATAATCACACCTACACACGACACAGCACGCGAATCGTTAATCGTGATTTACTTATTTTATCACAATAATATCATCGGCGAGACGAGGTGTTCAATAATACACCACGCTTTATATCGCATATACTATATATATTGTATTGCATTATTGCAGTATTGCATTGGTACACGGCAGCGTTCATTTCGATATCATACATGTAATCATATATTTTGTATATAGGTAAGTAGGTAGGTAGGTACTAGGTAGGTAGGTAGGTAGGTAGGTACACTATTGCAGTAAGCACGTGAATTATAATTTTTTTATACTAAATCTAATTTTTAACTGTTATTATTATTATAAACTATAATACAATTATTATAATTCCATGTGTGGGCATATATTTAATTTTAAACGTCTTCTTGAATATACATTATACACGTATATATACACACACCTATAGAGGTACAGAGATCGCCCCGTGCTCGATAATAGATAACTCTTGATCTTTAAACCTGCAGCAGAATATTATACTATGTAATTGAATGAAATGAATAATATTATTACGGGTACTCGTAACCGTTGTGTTTTAGCAAAGTTCTTATAGTATCCATTCATTGAACGCGCCCACGGAATAGATACTCGTGTGCTATATTATGTGTATAATATTATTATATTATGAACACTATGGTTCAGCCACGATTGTGCGGTTATTATTATTATATTATATTATTATTCTCAGGTCGTTTGTAACCAGCGATTTCTTAATGAGTGTGGGTGTGGGTGTATACGTTTGTGTGTGTGCGCGTGTGCGTGTGTGCGTGTGTGGAAACACTCTCGGTTCGATAAATGCAAATGTGACAGTCTATATGCGAACGGTCGGCGGAGGTAAACGAGGTCACGGAATGGCCAGAGCCTTTGACCCGTGTCCATTCAGTAATAAAGCGAATAAAACGAAAACCCGATTTCACGTGACTACCGGTCGTTAGCCCTATACGCTCCGTGCCGTTTTAAATAAACACTATAGATATAAGGTGGCCGGGAGAGGGATTTTTGGCTTTTTTTGTATAATAATATGTACATATATAATAATATTATGTTTACACGTTAAGTATACGCATTTGCTCAGTAAAACACAGTCACCGCTTCGCAGTAATGAATAAATTTCCGTCTGTGTATTTATGGGGCCGTTCATTTATTATTTTTTTATAACTTGTGCTTTTTATTTCACTTCCAATGCTACCGAAACAATCGTGCTAAACACAATTTTCTAGACAGTGTCAGTCAACTGACATCGCGAAAAGAAAGGGTGGTTAAATATGTATTACAGTGGTCAGTTACCTACAGCCGGGTCCGACAAAAATGCATTGGGTTCTTGACGATTTGACCCGAAAATGTTGTTAGGTATGTAACGACCGTTGTTATGTGATATATGCTCGTACCTACCTGTGAATACGCGTACAGAATCAAATTAGCATAATCATTAGAGCACAACTAAAAAAAAAAAAAAATGAAATTCGATTTTTATTTGCTTTTTTAACGTTATAATATTATAACAAAGTCCTTACTCGGTATTCCTTATACACACATTCCTAATATGCTCTATTGGCTGAAGTTTTGGAAAAATTGTATAGCTAAAAAAAATAATATTAGACCATAATTCCAATTTCCAGAAGTTATCACAAATTATTATTATAATTAAACAATTTAAACTTAAACTGCATATACTAATGTCTAATACCATGCAATGCTTTTCTATTTTGTTGCATGCGTTATATACTAATTTAATACACAGAGTGTACTTTTCGGTAATTACATTAGTATTGGTGGTAAAGTAAAATATATTATACACATACTTTTATATATTTTAAGGTAAAACGGCGATATTACTCAAACAGCACGTTTATACCGACGAGCGGTGGGGTAATAGAAATAGTAATACCCCACCAAAAAACATCAAGCATGATTTATACTGCTTAGTGCTTATATCATTGAATCATTATAAACATAATATTATTATTTTCGATATGTCATAGTAACTTTCTTCAATAATAAGGTTTTCGTTAAGTGTCCATTACATTTATGCAACAAATTTGCCGAGTTAAAAATAAATGTAAATGTTAATGTTAATGTTACTATTGTTGGTACAATGGTACTTATATATAAGTGCTCACAACTTTTATTGAAGAATTACATTTTAATATCGATCACTAAAAACTGATCTTATCCTACGATTCATCTTCGAGCACAGACTGCATATGAAGTACATATCCAAAATATAGAGTACCTATCTAATAATCGTATTATATGCACTATATACTGTAATATATATGGATAGTTTTTAAATACAAATAAAACACAAATACAAGTAGGTATAATATACAAAATATAAAGCCGTTGATGGTCGATTATACTTAACGTTTACCAAATCGGTACCCCATATTTTAGTATATGAAAACATAAATTCATTAAAATTACAATGTACATGTTTTGGACCCCCCCCCTCGAAAAAAATTTCTGAATACGGCCTCGACAACGAATGATATGTATGTATATTATAAACTAATATTATGTTAATTATTACATTTTCTAGCATTCCTATCAGCCGGTGTCTGCAGTATACTTGCTGATGTAACTGATAGGTATATTGGGAGACTGGAATTCGATATTATATGATTGGAAACGATTCTAAAATTATTTGAATTCATAAGATACGATTACCTATGAATTTTATCTACCATTTATCAAATGAAGTTATCTGTAAACCCTGGCCACCGATAACATAGCCACAAGGCCACACGTTAAAACTGTACATTGTACAATAATGACATTAAGATTTCAACAAGAAATGCCAAACTCTGGTCATCTAACCAATTAGCCAAAACACAAAATGTGTTAATAAAGATGTATACAATATTTTCACGTAACAATATTCATAAACCGTTCAATATCGTCTTTGAAGTAAAATATAATGTGCAAATTACGAGTTAAAATACACAACAATACGCAATTGTGTTACAAAAAAATTTAAAATTGTAGCACTTATTATATATTATATTATTGTATATGCACGTGTGTTTTTTGTATCAATAATACATTTAGTATACAAAAGAAAAACACGTAAATACTCAAAACATAATATTATTGTCTTCGTGATTTTTTATTAGGTTCTGTCACAGTTATGAAAAATAATATATCTACCACATCATATTTTGCCTAACAAGCAGAAGAAAGTGCAATATAAGCAATTCAAAATTCAACCGAAAAAAGATAAATAGACACTAAAACTAGAATAGAGTTACCACGAAATAAAGTGAAATTCGTGCTATAATATAATAATAACAACTAAACTTTGGAAGAGTATGATTTTTATCGTAGAAAAAAAAGCACGACGCCGAGCAAGTTTAGTGTTAAAAGTTTAACTGTTTATAAACTTACTGTATACGCATGGTTTGAAAACGAACACCTGGCATTTGATGTGGCGGTAAAATGATTCATAAATAAATCAAATAAAGGTCGAGTAACATTTTATTATTGTTTAAGAAAAAGGTAGATCTTGTTGCTATTTTTTTTTATAAAAAGTGATTACTTGAGTGGATATGTAACTGACCTGTACGATGACAACATTATATAATATAATACTATTGTTCCCGAGGATCCGACGGTGCTGATATAAATGGAAAGACGTAGCCGCAGCCGGTTCTGACCATTAGACGACGTGCATGCTAATTGTGTTGCCGTGGATACGCCGGACAACCAAACATTGCGAAGTACAACCGACCAAAGCAGTCGTCCAACGACTCGCCTTTATCTCTATCCAATCTATTAAATTCCCGAGAAATGGACTTATTCTGCAAGAGAAGGCGTCTTGTTTTTAAATTGTATTATTCTTGGTGTTCTACTGGCCAATAATTACGAATTTCGAACCTACTTACTTATAGAAAATTCGGTAATATCGATAATTGTATCAAGAACGTACGAACTACTGATTAAAAAACTCGACAACATTTAAAAATATAATAATATGTACACTATAAATGAAACTCAATTTCTAGAAAATAGTTCAGTGGAAATATAATTAAATCAATTAAGTAACAACTAACAATGTTAAAAGTTTTCAATGTTAACAATATTATCATTGTAAGTACTCGTACATACTATATTTTATTTTCAAATAATTCAAAGCATCAACATGTGTGCGATACCCAGTAATAATTTTAATAGAAATAGTTAAATTTAAACACTCGAGAAAAAATTGTGCATAGTACATTAGCCATTAGTTATTAGTTTTTAATTGATAACAATATAAAATGGAATATCAACTAATTCCTTTAGTAGGTGATGCAAATTACTTATTTCGTTCTATAGTAAACACATTATTAGGCACTCGAGAAAATCATCGATATTTATTATATTTGAATAAAAGTGATTAGTAATTGGGTAATGTATAAAGATTTATACTTTGTGATCTTTCTTATATTACCAATTAGCTATTCATAATTGTAAAGATTTGTTTTTATTATTTAAACAAAATAGTATATTTACAATCTGCAATATTTTATATACAATAAGTAAATTTGATGACTTAATATTAAAATATCAACATGAAATCACGTGAATATGGAGACTCCATCAGTGGCGTATATACGAATTATTTTCACACTATGGGCTAACTTATCAGTTATCACTAGTCAAGAATAGCACAACTAACATAGCCATAACTATACATTATTTAGGGAGCTGGGTGGTTAAAACTTATAACTATGACATAAACAGTACAAATAAAAATTATGCAATTTAATCATTATGTAAAATAAATTTTTTGATTCTTTTTTAAAAAATATTGACAGTGTCATTTATATATTTTAATGTTATCTTACTATGAATTTAACATCAAAGTCGCAATAAGTCATCAAAGCAAGTCCTGACAATCTAACATTTTCTTGTCGATTCCTCAAAAACGATTTTTATCAACCGACTAACTTAATCATGGTG